ACTCTCTGGCGACAGGGGAGCAGGGCACTGGCAAAAGGCTGCTTGGCCCCAAAGGCCAGAGATTTTCGGTCCACGCCCCCACCCTGGCCCGCGGCCCCTTGTCCGGTGGGGGCGATGCGACCCTCCAGACGGCCTCCCACCTGATCCGCCACACCCCAAGTCCACGGCGCGACCCACCAGGACCCCAATGTCACGGATGGTCCACACAAGAACATCGACTTCAAGGACGTCAGGGACACCACTTTCACGAAGCACCTCACCTCCGACTTCGCGGCCTCCCAGGGCTCCAATTCCATGCCTGGTGCACGCAAGGACACCCATCTCGCGGACCTCCAGGATTCCACTTTCGCGGCCTCCAACAACTTCAATCTCGCGAGCCACATCACGGATCCGGAGGCTACCTACCAGAACATCGATTTCATGGTCATGGGAACCGACAGGGGCCACCCACGAAGACGACGCCGACCACCCCGACGACGACCCTTACGACGCCCCGACCGACGCCCCACCGGACGCCCTTCCCGACTCCCAACCCGACGCCCCCGCCGACCTCCAACCCGACGGCTTACACGACGCTCTTCCCGACGCCCTTCCCGACGCCAAACCCGACGCCCAACTTGACGCCCCACCCGACGCCCTTCCCGCTGCGTTCCCCGACGCCCAACCCAACGCCCAACCAGACGCCCAACCCGTCGCCCCTCCCGACGCCTTCCCCAACGTCCAACCCGCTGCCTTCCTCGACGCCCAACCCGACGCCAATTTCGAGCCCTCCAAGGACACCAAATGCCGAACATTACCTCCAATTTCAAGGCCTCCAAGGACTTCAATGTCGCGGACCACTTCACGGATCCAGAGGCTACCCACCAGAACATCAATTTCAAGGCTGTTGGAAGGGCCGGAGCCACCCGCGACGACGACGCAGACCACCCCAACGACGACCCCGACGACGCTCCCACCGACGCCCCTCGCGCCCCCCCTCTCGACGCTCCATCCGCCGCCACTCCCCACGCACCGCTCGACGCCCCCTCCGACGCCCTACCCGACGCCCAACTCTACGCCCAACCCGACGCCCTTCCCGACGCCCGAACCGACGCCCAAACCGACGCCCAACCCGACGCCCTTCCCGACGCCCAGCCCTGCGCCCTCCCCGACGCCTCCGCCGACGCCCCTCCCGACGCCCTTCCCGACGCCCAACCCGACGCACAACCCGACGCCCAACCCGACGCCCCCTCCCCGACGCCCTTCCCGACTCCCAGCCTCGCGCCCACCCCGACACCCGTCCCGACGTCCAAACCGACGCCCACCCCGCACCCTTTCCAACGCCCTTCCTTACGCCCAGCCCCACGCCCACGCCCAGCCCCAGGCACAGCAGGCACCCAACACTCAGCCTTACTGAGCCCACGAGCAGCACCACCACCCACGCCACCAAAACCATTGCCGCCACCAAGACCGTGCGCCAATCCCAGAGTCCGAGTTCACACCAGAGGGACCTCTACCAGCGGGAGCAGACCCAGCGCCAGCGCCGACGCCATCTGAACCAGCACCAGCACCGGAGATGACACCAGCACCAGCACTAGAGCCAACACAGGCGACGCCAGCGCCACACCTCGAACCAAGTACAAGACGACCCTGGCTTCCGAGCCTTGCCGCGCTACTGGCGACACCACCACACAACGCACCTTCTAGGGTGCAACGCCCCTCCGACCTCTAGCGTCCTCGGTCCCTACCGACTGGCGCCCCCCCTGAGGCAACGCAACCCGCCGATGGCGGCACCCGGCCACAACCGCCTCACCCCCCCCTCCCTGTACCCCTCTTCGGCTACGCACCCACGACGTTGGCGGCGACACCTGTCAGAAGCCCCCGGCCCCCGCCTCCGCCGCGGGCGCTTGGCCTGCGGCCACCCCTGCCCGCGTCCCCGAGCAGAGACCTGGCCACTCTCCCCCCCTCAAAAAAAAAACCAACGCCCTCCCCACCCACCTCTACGACCACCACCCACCCTCCTCTACGACCACCACCCCTCCCGACGAAGTATGCAATATCATGGATGGGCATACTGCTGCGTCGACCGCAACGCCAGCGATCATTTCGCGGCCCTGAGGGGCCGCAGGGGCAGGGATTAGCTTGTGGTTCGGGGAGGGCGACCAACGTTTGTTATTCCCCCCGAGGCCCCTGGAGGGGGCCTCGGGGCAGGATGGATGGCTGCAGGATGAACCTTCGTGCGCCATGCGTGAGTGAGTGAGTGAGTGAGTGAGTGAGTGAGTGAGTGAGTGAGTGAGTGAGTGAGTGAAAGAGGAGGAGGAGGAGGAGGAGGTCCCCATCCTCCCTTCTCCCCCCGGCCTACCTATGGTAGTGGTGGTCGAACATTGGCCAATCACTCCCGGGGCTGGCACTGGCCAGCTTCCCGAGCCGCGCCCAGCCGCGGCGACGAGAGGAGGCCCCTTTCTCCCCGCGCCTGCCGGCCAGGACCCGTGCTGGGCCGCCCCGGTGCCCCCGCCGGCGCCCGAGGGGGGCCGCCGGGCCCAAGAGGCAGCACACGGAGAGAGGCCACGAAACCCGGATAGGGCGGCGAGATCCATACACATCCACTGCTCCCTGGGCAGGCCCATCCTGAACCCAGCAGCGGTGTACAGGCCACGCCCTCCAGGCTTGGCCAGGAGGGCGTATGCACAGCTCCTGGGTTCGGGATGGGCCTGGGCAGGGAGCAGTGGATCTGTGTAGATCTCGTCACCCGGCCATACCCGTCGGTCAGAAGAAGTAGGTAAAAACATGAAGTAGGAAGGCGGGTAAAGTAGATTTGGTCCAGGCCCGCCCAAAGAATCCCAAAGAGCAGCCAAAGCACATTGGTGCTTGAAGCAGCAGGGCGCCCCAAAATAGATTGGGACCTGGCAAATCCACGAATGCCTGCTTTCAACGACCCGCGCGGACGCCGGAGCGACGCCGAGGCCGCACGACGGCGGCGCGCAGAAGCGAGAGGTGGTTGGCGCGAGGAGGGGGGGCGGCCTTCGGAGAAGGCAAGGCTGCGAGGCGGGGATTCATCCACGTCCACCGCCTGGGAACCGACGTCCTGGTGCCCCAGCGGGCGGTGGAGATGGATACATTTCGCCCCCCCGGGGGCCCGAATACGACCATATCCACCGCCTGCCGAGGCTCCGAAAACTGACCCTCTAGGCGGTGGTCATGTCTAAATTCCCGCCTCGGAAAGATGAGCGACGATCGAACACGGGTCCTGAGCGAGACGGCACAGCGACCTCACGCAGCGGCTCGCGCGGGCCGCCAGCGCGGCGCGCTGCAGTGGGAGCGAAGGCGCTCACGACGCGACCTTACTCCAGATTTTGTAATAAAGGGAGGGGGGTCTCATTTCGGGGGGGGTCTCTTCCAGGCTATCTTGGAGGGCCTGGGGGGGTCTGGGGACGATGTTTTGGAGGGTTCTCCCACGGGGGAGGTCTGAAATGGCTTGTCTTGGAGGGTCCAGACCCCCTCCCTTTTATTACGAAATCTGGAGTACGCGAGCGGCTTGCGCGCGAATGGGGGCGCGCACGGCGCCGCTCCTCGGCGTCGCTCTCAAAGGGGGGCCGGCCTCCTCCTCCTCCTCCCCCTCCTCCTCCTCCTCCTCCTCCTCCTCCTCCTCCTCCTCCTCCTCCTCCTCCCCCCCCTCCTCTCCTCCTCCTCCTCCCCCTCCTCTCCTCCTCCTCCTCCTCCTCCTCCTCCTCCTCCTCCTCCTCCTCCTCCTCCTCCTCCCCTCTCCTCCTCCTCCCTCCTCCTCCTCCTCCTCCTCCTCCTCCTCTCCTCCTCCTCCTCCTCCTCCTCTCCTCCTCCTCCTCCTCCTCCTCCTCCTCCTCTCCAGAAGGCGGGGCTGCCCCTCGGAGGGGCCCGGCGGCTGCCCAGGGAAGGCCTCGCGGGAGCCGGGGAGGGCCTCTGGCAGGGACCCCCCCCCTGCCCTCTGAGGAGGGCGCCCCTTGCCCTCTGAGAGGCCCCCCCCCAGTGAAGGGGCCCTGAGACACACAAATAGATACACACAAATCAAAGGATGCCCCATATGTTCCCATATTTTCTGGGCTTTTGTCTTCCCCCCCGCTTCCCATATGTTTGCATATTTTCCTAGGGATCGTCGATTAATTTATCTGTGTGTTTCTTTCCCTCCTGGCCCAGGCCTTCCTGAGAAGAGAAAACAGCGCCACAGACAGAAGCCGTTGGCGCCAAAGCTCATGCCGGTGGCTTTGTTGTTCTTCTGCGATTCCTGGGAACTCTCCCAGGCTCGCCCGCCTTCTGAGGAGCCCTCCCTGCCGCCGCAGAAGACCTCCCCCGCGGCCTTCTCTGGAGGCCAGCCCCCTCGCGCCGCCCCCCTCATGGTGCGCGCGCCGACCACGGGCCCTCCTGGGCCTCGAGGCTTGACTACCTGCCAGACCACCCCAACCCAACCCCAAGACCCGAATTTCGGGCTGGGGGGGGTGCAGGTTCCATCTGCGTTTCTGCCCATGTTCCCCGACCCCCCCCCCCCATACTGGAAACGGAGGGCAAATTGAGGCCTTCGGGTCGGATTGTTGGTGGGTGGTGAAGGTTGGAGGCCTGGAAATCGGCACCAACACCAGCACAAGGGGATGCCTCCACAGGGGGGAAGGCAACGCTGGATTCTGCCGCTGGTGGTGAGATCTTGGCCGCCTAGGAAGCCCGAGCGTGGAGGAAGGGCATCAACACAATGTGTGAGGTCCGCGTGGATATCTCGGATCGGCGCTGGCCCCTCCTCCCCGGCGCGCGCAGCGCGCCGAGGGCGGCGCGCCGGAGGCACCGACAACGGGGCCCAGCGCCGATGCAAGATCTCCGCGCGGAGCTCCGAAAGCTTGTACATGCGGCTTCGCTCTCTGTCCCGAGGATCCAACCACCATCACCAAGGATCGGGAGCAGCCTCCCTCGGTGGAGGTAGCCGCCGACACTGGCGTCGGTGCCCACCTCCAGGCCTCCGACGAGGGGGCGGCGCACGGAGAGAGCACGGGCGTGCATGCCTCCTTCCCGCCGGCCTCCAGGATGTCGTACACCAGCACCTCGGGGCGGTCCCCCTCTCCACGCCCCCGCATGCACCGACACCAGGGACTTCTTCCTCCTCCTCCTCCTCCTCCTCCTCCTCCTCCTCCTCCTCCTCCTCCCCCTCCTCCTCCCCCTCCTCCTCCTCCTCCTCCTCCCTCCTCCTCCTCCTCCTCCTCCTTCTCTTCCTCTGCCTCCTCCTCCTCCGCCTCCTCCTCCTCCTCCTCCTCCTCTCCTCTTCCTCCTCCTCCTCCTCCTCCTCCTCCTCCTCCTCCTCCCTCCTCCTCCTCCTCCTCCTCCTCCTCGGCCCGCGGCCTCCTCCTCATCCTCCTCCTCCTCCTCCTCCTCCACCTCCCTGCCGGAGATTCGCCTACTGACGAGTCCTCCTGCGAGTGCCGCCCTTAGTCTGACCAGCCAGCGGTTGAATCAGAGATGCAATTCAAAAATCCCTCTCTCCTCCCAACCTTTCCTGCATGGTTCGAGTCCAGACACGCCAGAAGGTCCAGAGGCCACTGATCATTACCCACACCTGGCCCGAGAGAGGCCCGGACGCCTGCCCGCAGCCTGTGGTCAAATTCGCTCGTCGCTCCCGCAGGGGGCGCCCGCGGGGGGGCCCCTTTCGTAGGCTTTTTGTGTTGCTGGGTTTCGACATTTGGCTAAAGGGTGCGGGGAGGGGGGGGCGGTGCTCAGTCGATCTGCTTCTGCCAGTTGCGCAGGCAGGCTGGGGGGAGGGGCCCTGACCAGTCGCCAGAGACCAGCTGCCAAAGGCAGCCAAGATATGGTCTATGGGGGGGAGGGCGCTTAGTGGGTCCCGGAAACGGCAGGGCCGGTTTTTCACCGTTTCCGAAAAAAGGGCCCCTTGAAAATGGAAACGGCAAAAAAACGGCGACCGGAAACGGCAACAAAAACGGCTCCAGGATGGGAACCGGAGCAAGAACCGGTCCAAAAACGGCGACGGAACCGGTGAAAAAACGGCGTCGGAACCGGCAAAAAAACGGCAGAACGGAACCGGTAAAGAAACGGCCCTGTCGTTTCCAGGGCCCACTAAGGGAGGGGGGAAGTGTGTGGAGGGGGGGGGCACGCGCCGATCGGCGAAACAAGACACTCAAAAAACCCAGACCCCCGACGTCATGATTTTTTCATGACGCGACCCCCAAAGGTCCGGACCCCTTCCCCGGGACGGGCTTTTAATCCCGAGTCGTTTTTTGACGGTCCTGCAGGGCCGGTAAGGGCCCCCGGAGGCCGAAAAAAGCGAAAAACGTCCCGTCGTGATGTTTTCTTCACTCGAGGGGGTCTGGGAACGGCGGCTTCCCTCCTGCGGTCAAGCGCTGCTGCTTCGCGTCTCGCGGCGGCGGCCCCCGACGTGCGAGGTCTGTGCTTCGCCCTCCTGTTGGGCCTCTCCTGGGAGGCCCTGCGTCGCCCCGGCCGGGTTTTGCCTCGAAGTCCTGGTGAGGAGGAGGAGGAGGAGGGGGAGGAGGAGGAGGAGGAGGAGGAGGAGGAGGAGGAGGAGGAGGAGGGGAGGAGGAGGAGGAGGAGGAAGGAGGAGGAGGGGAGGAGGAAGGAGGGGAGGAGGAGGAGGAGGAGGAGGAGGAGGAGGAGGAGGAGGAGGAGGAGGAGGAGGCGGAGGCGGGTCGGAGGGTCGGCTTCGGACCCCCTGCGGCGCGCCACGCCCTGCAGGCTGATGTCGTGCTGCTCTGCTTCGCGGGACGGGAGGCTGGGGGAAGGCTCGGAACGTGGATGTCCACTTCCCGCGCATGTTTCGGTTCCGTGCGAGTTGTTTCTTTCTGCTCGATGGTCCAGGATGGTCCTCGATGGTTCTCGCCGAGAAAAAATACACACGTCCGAGCAATGCCAAGTCCTTGGAAAGGCTGTGGGGAGGGGGGGGACTACGGCGTGCTTAGCGTGTCGCGCTGGAGCGAGGTCGGCCAGAACAGGCGGTGCGGCAAGCTGGGCAAACGTTCACGACCGTGCATCTATAGAGGAAGATGAGGCTCCACGGACATAAATGGTCGACTGTCCGCGTGGACTTCGTGGGTCGGGAATGGACGCCCCGCCTGCGGATCTCCGAGAATGTATACTCAGGTTTTGTGCTGCTTGGTTTCATGTATCTCTGTGTTTCGCAGCGACGTGTCTTTCGCAGCGGCTGTATCCCCCCTCGCTATGGTCTTCTTTCGTGGCGGTTTTGAGCTCAGATGTGTCGCCAGGTGCACCTGGTGATAGCACATCAGCTACATGACCTGGCGGATTGCCAGATCCTGGCGGCTCTTGCGCGCTGCGTGAAGTATATAGCACCCCGCAATTGCGGATAAGAGTGAGGGGGCGGGCGCGGGCAACGCGGGCGTCGTCGAGCCGGCGGACCTCGTGGCCCCCACCTTCCCTGTCGATGGCGTCCTCCTCCTCCTCCTCCTCTTCCTCCTCCTCCTCCTCCTCCTCCTCCTCCTCCTCCTCCTCTCCCTCCTCTCCTCCTCCTCCTCCTCCTCCTCTCTCTTCCTCGCCTCGTCCTCGTCGTCATCGTCATCGTCATCGTCATCGTCATCGCCTCTCACCATCCTCCTCCCTCCTCCTCTTCTTCCTCGTCCTCGTCCTTCCTCGCCCCCCTCTTCATCATCATCGTCCTCCATTGTCGTCCATCCATCATCCTCCTCCCCTCCTCTCCTCCTCCTCCTCCTCCCTCCTCCTCCTCCTCCTCCTGCCTCCTCCTCCTCGCTCCTCCTCCTCCCTCCTCCTCCTCTCTCTACATTCTCATTACATCCTTCCTTCTTTCGCGTCCTCCTCGTCCCCTGTTTACTCCTCCTGCCTCCCCTTCCTTTCCCAAGATAACTGCAACGCAATCCTTTTTCCCACTTTATGCTCCCCGACTTCTCTGATCAAGGCAACTCGCCAGGGCAAAGTTGCTGGACGGGCTGGTGTGGATGCGCGGGGCTTGAAGAGGTCGTTGCGGGCTCAGACGGCATGCAAAAATCCGCCGCCGCGCTTGTGCGGCATTGGTTTGTTCAGTGAACGTGGTTTGGGTCGCGGGCTCTCCACCTCCACCTGGAAGGAATGCAAAAGCAGCCCGCCGCAGGCGCCGAAAAAATTGGTTTGTACACTGAACGTGGAATGGGTCGCGGGTGGGCCGCGGGTTCTCCACCGGGAACGAATGCAAAAGATGCCCGCCGCAGGCGCCGAAAAAATGGTTTGTACCCTGAACGTGGTCGCGGGTGGGCCGCGGGCTCTCCACCTGAACGAATGCAAAAGCTGCCCGCCGCAGGCGCCGAAAAATGTGGTTTGTACCCTGAACGTGGTTTGGGTCGCGGGTTGGTCGCGAGTTGGTCGCGGGGTGGGTCGCGGGCTCTCCACCTGGAAGGAATGCAAAAAAAACCCGCCGCAGGCGCCGAAAATGGTGGTTTGTACCTTGAACGTGGTTTGGGTCGAAGGTGGGTCGCGGGTGGGTCGCGGGGTGGGTCGCGGGTGGGCGGGTGGGTCGCGGGTGGGTCGCGGGTGGGTCGCGGGGTGGGCCGCGGGCGGGTCGCGGGGTGGGTCGCGGGTGGGTCGCGGGTGGGTCGCGGGTGGGTCGCGGGGTGGGTCGTGGGGTCGGGTCGCGGGTGGGTCGCGGGTGGGTCGCGGGTGGGTCGCGGGGTGGGTCGCGGGGTGGGTCGCGGGGTGGGTCGCGGGTGGGTCGCGGGTGGGTCGCGGGGTGGGTCGCGGGGTGGGTCGCGGGTGGGTCGCGGGGCGGGTTGCGGGTGGGACGACGACAACAAACAACAACAAACAACAACAAGCAACAACGAGAATCCGCACCGCGGAATCCCACTTCAGCCACGCACCCAGGGACAGTGAATGACCGTTCGGCCACCTCACTCTGATCTCGGGGTCCCTCCCCCCCTCCTCATTCCTCCTCCCGCCCCTCCTCGGCCTCCACTTCCTGCTACATCCTCCAAGTCCTCCTCTGGGGACACCACAAGGCACCAATACAGCTACTCCCCAGACCTCTCTCGGGGTGCGTCCTGACCAGGATTTCAAGGCGAATCCAGCGGTGGGGACGAGGGCCGCCCAGGAGGCCCAAAAAGGACAAAACGAGGCAAGATATGAGTATGGGTACCTATTCCTCCCATGACCCTCGAAAATAAATCGGCGTTAGATCCGCCACCCTGGCGCGCGGAGCGCGCCAGGTCAAGCCTGACCGTTCGCGGGGTCCTGCGAGCGGGTTAGGCGGCTTGGCTGGCTGGGCGGAAGGGTAGAGGGCAAGCAGCATAGGCAGCAGACGGCGCACGAGAAGCTGGAGCCGCGGCCACTTGCCCCGCTGGCCGGAGCACCATGCCTGAGCCAGGGAGCGGCTCCAGGGGCGCCGCCAGGGGGGCCCAGCGCTGGTCCGAGAAATCCCAGCGGATCTCCGAAAGTGCATGTCTATACAGTTGTTTTCTTCGTCTCATCATTATTACAATTACTACTAGTAATCTTACTATTCGTAGGATTACTGTAATTCGTATTCGTATTATTATTGTGATTATGGTCGTTATTGCTATTAGTAGAATTACTGTTGTGATTACTAAGGTACGATTATGATCGTTCGTAACACTCTTATTGGTGTGAATATTCGTACTAGTACGATTAACCTTACTATGATTATGCTTATTCATAATACGATTACGACTATTATTAGTTGAATACGCTCTAGTCTTATTGTGCTACTACTACTCGTAGTGCTCGTAGTAGTGCTGCTACTGTTATTATTGTTAGTGGAATTCTCATTAGTCTTATCAGTATTACTCGTACTCGTCCAAGAACATCACCATCAACACCAAGGATCGGGATCGGCCCCCCTCGGTGGGGGTAGCTGCCGACACTGGCGCCGGTGCCCACCTCCAGGCATCCGAAAGCGAACGTTTACGCAGTGCTCCCCTCCTCGAGGTACAGCTGGCTGCGCGGGCCCCCTGGGCCGGCCAGCGGAGCAGTGGCCCAGACCCGGCGGTGCGCGCTCGCCCCGGGGAGCTCCCCGGCACAGGCCGCAGGGCGCCCTGTGCCCTGCGCGCCCCAGCAGCTGGCCCACGAGGGCGCTGCCCCGGCCACACGCAGGAGCACGAGGGCGACGGGCTCTGTACACATCCACGGCCCAGGCCTGGACCAGGCCTGGGCCGAGGCGCGGTGGACACGCCCTGCTGGCCTGGCAAGGGGTGGGTATCCACTGCTCCTGGGCCCAGCACGGGCCAGGACCTGGGCAGCTGATCTGTCTGGGTCCCGCTGCCCTCAGAGTGACCCTGGGCAAGAGCGACCTCCGGTGCGCGGCGCGCGGGGAGCCGCGGGGTGGCCGAGCCCAAGAGCGCGCCAGGCGCAACCGCCGCATCGCCCTCGGCGCTCGGGGGACCCCGTCCGGGCCCGCAGGCCAGAGGTCGCTCCAGCGAGGGGCCACTCCTGCGTCCGGCGTCGAGCGGCGCCGTGCTGCGCGCCGAGTTCTAGACGTACACGGGCCCCGGGTCGCACGCGCCGAGCGGCCGCGCGGGGCCGCGCACCAGGACCCTCTGCCGCCAGCCCGCGGCCCGGCCCGGCTGCCCGCCGCCGACCCAGAGGTCCAGGGGGCCCGCCTCGAGGTACGGCCGGCCGCCCCCCGCCACGACCGCGCGGGCCTCCGGGGCCAGCCGGAAGCGCAGCTCGGAGGAGGGCCGGGCGAGGCGGCGGCGGCCGTCCCCTGCAGCGCGCCTCGCCCTCCTGCGCGGGCCTGCTGGAGGCGCCTCGCCGCCACGGCTGGCGGCCGGATCCACGTCGAGGAACGGGTCAGGATGGAGCCCGTGGAGAGGCCTGGGGCCCAGCGGGCCCTGGAAACGACAGGGCCGTTTTTGTTACCGGTTCCGTCTTGCTGTTTTTGTTGCCGGCTCCGACGCCGTTCTTTTACCGGTTCCGCCGCCGTTCTTTTACGGGTTCCCGCTCCGGTTCCAATCCTGGAGCCGTTTTTGTCGCCGTTTCCGGTGACCTGTTCTTGCCGTTTCTATTTTCAAGGGACATTTTTTGGAGATGGTGAGAAAACCGGCCCTGCCGTTTCCGGGGCCCACAGAGGCCTGGGGGCCGATGCTGGCCGGATGCGGCTCGGGCGGGAGAGCCGCCGCGGTCTCCGCTGGCCCTCCTCCGCGAAGGGGCTTGGAGGCGCCACGCCCCAGGGAGATGCGCTCGAAGGCAGCCAGTCGGAGCTGCGGCTGCGGCGCACCTGGCGACACGGGCACGATGTACACCTGGACCACCTCGTCGCCGTCGTGGGCGCCAGTGTTGCGGACGGTGATGGTGATGCCGATGGTGCCACAGCTCTCAACCTCGCGGTTGGTGAAGCCAGCATCGTATGAAAATGTGGTGTAGCTGAGCCCGTGCCCAAACGGAATGTCTGGGCTCCCCTGGAAGAAACGATAAGAATAGCCACGGGCTGCATACCAGCTCATGTTCGTCCGATCTGCCGGGAGGTCACGGTCACCGCTGTACCAGGTGACGGCACTTCGCCCTGCAGGGCTGTGCTCACCGAACAGGATGCTCGCAACTGCCTCGCCCGCAGCTTCTCCTGGGTACCAGGCGTCCAGCATCGCATCCAGGTCGCTCCCGAGGTTCTTGAGCGCGAACGCGCCCCCGTGGACGAAGACGCCGACGAGGGGCCGAGACGTCCTGCGCCGCAGAGCCCGGACCAGGGCATACTGGTTCGGCGGCAGCTCGATGGTGATGCGGTCGAAGCCCTCCGACTCGCACCCGCTCGTGGCGCACGTGTCTGGAGGGTCATTGGCGGTGCAATTAACGCAGCCCTCGATGGCATCGTAACGCAGCCCCAGCACGACCACCGTCACGTCGGCAGCCGCCGCTGCTGCCTCTTCTTGGAACGCCCGACATGGGTACGGAGAAATGGGTACGATGCACAACAGCAAAGATTGCCCACAACAAACAGCGGCAGCTGTTGGACAGGCGACCTGCTGTCCCAAATGGACAACGATCGCGGCGACACGGACAGCGAAAAAATCTCAAAACGGGCAAAAAGCTGCTGTTGGTCTTCGGCCCCGACCTCTTCCCGTGCCCGCTTCGGTCGCACCGACCTCCGCCTCGGCGAACGCGGTCTGATCTGGACAGCTCACGGACCTGGGGAAACCAAAAGGTACCGATACCGCGACCTCCCGGACCTCTCCCGGGGCGCGTTCTGACCAGGATTCCGAGGCGCATCCAGCGGTGGCGACGAGGGCCTCCGAGGAGGCCCCAAAAAGGGGGAGAACGGGCGAGGGGGTAGAGAGTCATGGGTATACCTCTTCCTCCTCCAAAGAAACCGGCAACCGGCGGCGAAGGTGACGGAGGACCCGACGAGCTTGTCGCAGACGGAGGCCGCGCCCTCGCACCGCCGCACGGCCTCCAGGAAGCTGCGGCCCTCGCCCGCGCGGCGGGCGATGCCCTCGAGGAGGCGGTCGATGCCCTCGGGCCGGGCCCCGGGCTCCATGTAGTTCCCGAGCAGCAGCTGCCCCATCACCGCCCCGGGCCCCACGACGGCCACGCGCGCGGGCGCGCGGAGGGGCAGCACGGCCCCGCGGTTGCTGTAGAGGCAGACCGCAGCCCGGGCCGCGCGGAGCGCGAGCTCGCGGCCCCCGACCTTCCGAGCTGCCCCGATGCGCCACGCGCGACGCGCCGCGTGCTGGCACGGAGCTCCACACGCAGGGTCGACACGGCAGGTGCGGCGCAGTGCGTTCGCCAAAAGCGTGGGCCCACACGTGCCGAGCCAACACCAAGGGCTCCCAACTTCGCGCTTCGCGCTCCGCGCAGCGCGAGGCGCGAATAACTTCGCGCTCTCGCGCCGCCCCCCCAAAGGGAGAAGAGGAGGACGAGGAGGAGGGGGGGGAGGAACGAGGCCCGCGAAGCGCGAAGCGCGAATAACTTCGCGCCCTCGTGGGAGCCCTTGCAACACGCAACGTGTTAGCACGGACGTATGGAACACGGCACGTGTTGCGTGTCAACAGGGGTGCATATCAGGGCAGCCCCTCACCCCCGACCAAGAGCGGCTCCAGCGCCAGGTGGTTGTAGGACACACTGGCCGGCGGGTCGAACATGCCGAGGCGGATCCGTGTGCGGAAGAGCCTCTTGAAAGACGCAGCGACTCGCTCTCTAGTTAGAGGAACAGCAGCGAAAGGCATAAACCTGGTTTATCGGAGGTCCGCGCGGACTTCTTGGATCGGCGCTGGACGCCGCCTCCCTGGCGCGCAGAGGGCGCCAAGGGGGGACCAACGCGAATCCCAGAAATCCGCGCGCACCGTCCACACTCTTCACGTGCATGCAGCTGTTGCCGTTCCTCGGCTGGTGGTCAGGCCTGCCGCGACGGCATCACGCAACTTTGAGCTCGCAGCCGTTCCGCCACCCTCCTGGTCCATGCCAGCGTTCAGCCCCACCGCCGCCGCCATCGTGAGATTCTCCACAAACCGGTCCGGCTCGACCAAGTTCGCCCAGGCGTCGAAATCAGAGACCACGCTGCCGTTGAAGCCCCAACCGGCGCGCAGCACACCATTGATCGCGGCGAGCGAGGGGGGGAAATGAGAATGAGAAGGCCTTCTCAGAAGGTTCGGAAGTCCCCCGGCCTTCTGAGAAGTTTTCTAAGCCTTCTCCGAAGAAAAAGAAACACTTCTCAGAAGGCGCGAGGGCTTCTGAGAAGTCCCGTTGCCTTCTGAGGAGGCCTTCTCCTTCTCACTTCTCCCCCTCGCTCGCCGCCGAATTGAGCAAATCAGGGCTCGCGCAAGCTGGCACCCCGTTCACCGAGTTGTAGCTGCACATGACCTGCTCTGCACCGGCCCCGACGCACGCCTCGAACGCTGGCAGGTAGCTCTCGAGCAGGTCCCTGGCCCCCACAGCCGCGTCGAAGCCCATCCGCCACTGGCCGCGGAGGCTGACCTCACCAGCGGCGAAGACACCCGCATCCGCGCCCTCGCGGTCTGCATTATAGGGGGCCACATGCGAGCCCGACACCTGCCCCCGACGATTTCTGAGGGGGAGGGTGGGGTTCGCTCCGCTCGGGAGCTCCCGAACGGAGTGGACCCCACCCTCCCCCTCAGAAATCGTGGGGGGTAGGGGTGGGGTTCGCAGGTGGCCCCCGATGGACTCCGCGGCGCGATCCCGCGGATAAGCGGCGGCACGGATACGCTCCGCGTCGGGCACCCGCGGGGGAAAAAAAAAAAAAAAAAAAAAAAAAACACGTCCGCGGGGCCGCGGCCCAGGGGGCCCGCGAGGCCGCGGAGAGACGGGCCCTTCCACCCCCGAGAGGGCCCGCTCGAGGTCGTAGGCGGCAAAGTGCTTGCAGGTCGCGGCCGCGAGCAAGTGCGGCCCCGCGCGCGGGCCCTGCAGCCCCTCCACGAAGGCGGCCCCCAGGCGCCCAGCGTGCAGGGGGTCCTCGCCGAAGGCCTCTTGCGCGCGGCCCCAGCGCGGGTCCCGGACGAGGTTGACGTTCGGCGCGTAGGCCGTGATGCCCCAGCCGTTGTGGCCGCCGCGGGCCCCGCGCGCGACGTGGAAGTTGTGCACCGCGCGCGCCTGCTCGCCGATGGCCCTGGCGACGCGCCGCAGGAGGTCGGGATCCCAAGTTCGGGCCTTACCAGGGGTGTCCCTGGCTAAAGGTGCCCCCAGGATCCTCCAGGGTCCAGATGGCCTCCACAGCGCCCCACCCGAGGACTGGAGGGCCCAGGGGCTCCGAAGAGGCTCGAAAAGCGACAGGCACCTCGGGCCAGGAACACCTCTGGCAACCCCCGACAAGTGGCGCCGAGGCCGCAGCCATCCGGAAAGACGGTTGCGGCGCTCAGGTGAGTGTCGTTGCGCACCCCGTGGGAATCGTCTAGAAGACGAAACGGCAGAAGCATCAACATTCGGAGCTCCGCGCGGATTTCTTGGACCGGCGCCTGGGCCCACCTGGCGGCGCCTCCAGCGCCGCCCCCAGCAGTGCTGGGCGCGCCAGGGTCCAGCGCCGATCCAAGAAATCCGCGCGGAACTCCGAAGGTTTGTACGCATGCAGGTTTTTCTTCTTCGATCGTCGTCCGTCCAGGTGTATGCGGGAATCCCGAGGCGGGGGATGGCCGGCGCGGAGCTGGTGAGCTGGGAGATCTGCTCCTCGAGGCTCGCCTGCCGAGCGAGGAAGTCGAGGCGTGCCTCCAGGGACAGCTTGCTGTCGAAGTGCGTCTCGGCCAGCGGGCAGGGGCCGAGGTCCGGGCCCGGGGCGCAGCCGGTGCCAAGTGGGCAGCGGTATTCACAGAGGAAGAAAGAGCTGCATGAGCAGTAAAACTTTCCGAGCTGCGCGCGCGCCGTGAGGGGGGGGCGCCAGAGGCGCCGCCTATAGGGGGCCCCAGCGCCGATCCGAGCCATGGGGGAAACCAAAAGGTATCGATACAGCTACCTCCCCGGACCTCTCCTGCAGCGCGTTCTGGCCAGGATTCCGAGGCGAAACCAGCGGTGGCGACGAGGGTCTCCCAGGAGGCTCAAAAAGGTGAAAACGGGCGGGTGGGGGCTCTGAGAAGTCCTCGCGGAGCTCCGAAAGTTTATCATGTTTACGCTGCTGTTTGTCCATCGGTATTCACCAGCGCCGCACGCGCCGCAGAGGGATCGGTCCAGGGCGCAGTCGGATGCGGGGCACGCCTGGAAATAGGTCGGGCGTGTCCCCCTACAGGCGGAATTTTGGAGGAAAATGCAGAAAACTCCCCAACAAATATTCGAATTGTCCAAGAATCATCAACCAAAAACTCGTCCCCAGACTACTCTTTGGCTGTTTTTGAAAATCCTCCTCCCGTAGAGGGACATGCCCGACTCGAGCCTGGAACTCGCCGAGGCAGCCCGCGGCGGCGGCCCCCGCCAGCAGCGGCAGCGGCAGGAGCAGCGGCGCGGGCGGCGTGCGGCGGGCAGGCCGCGCAGCGGCAGAGGCACGGGCACCAGCTCCCAGCATGGGGGCGCGGAGGGCTCAGGGTCGCCGACCTCTGCGAAACCACGGGCGCGTGAGTGAGCCCGCCGGCCCCCCTCGGGACCGCAGACGCTCGCGCCGCTAAGTGCCGCTGTCTTCAAAGAGAGGCCCAAATCGAAGACATGCTACAACTCCCCATGTTGGCCACAGAAGTAGCGCTAAGCGTCCCCCTTGGAGGCGTGCGTCCGCCCCGAGCACATAGCACGACCACCTGACAGCACGTCGCTGCCCGAGCGGTGCGGCCAGGAAGCGCCCGCCACCGAGCGTATGCTAGAATGCTTCTCGGCGCGCGCGACGCCCCTGGGGGGGCGGCCGCGCGCGTCACCCCCTGGGGGGGGCGACGCACACGTGGTGCTGGCATGCCGGTGCGATGCCGAAACATTCGCGGGCTGGGCACCCCTCGAGCTTGGGCCTGTTGCGGGCGCCCGGTGTGGCCTCAAGCCGAGACGGCTCAGGAACACATCCTGGCGTCACGGAGCCATGGCCTGCACTTCACCGTGCCATGCGTTTTTGCGGCGACGCGACGTGATGGTAAACCAGCCTCTGGTGCTGTGAAGATGCGGAATCATGACGTTGCGATGGTCGTGGCGCCGCAGTGAGCGAAGCACATCTGAGTTCAAAGATGGAGGGCGGTTCCTTTTCAAAATGGAGCTCTCGCTTGAGCCTCCTCAAGAAAGGTCGCCGGATGAATAGATCCGCCGCCCCCCTCGGGGCACAAGGCTGTCAAGTTTCCTGCGGATTGCTGTGTTGTGTCAGTTGTGCTGTCCTTTGCTGTGTCGTCTCTTGTCTCTCCGGTCCTGTCTCCGGTCTACTGTCTACTATGAGGGCCCGCGGCGACAAAAACAGCCACCTGGGGGTTGGGGGCCCCAAACTCTTGGCCGCTCGCAGGCTCCCGAGGACTGCCGATAGAGACGCCACGGCACGGCCAGGAGTGCACAAGAGGCCTGAAAGATGGCCCCAGGAGGCTCCGAAGAGAGCCTCAGAAGCCCAAGACGGCCCAAGAGAGCCCGAGGACGCCACAAGACGGCCTCAAAACGGTCAAAGAGGCCCCCGAGACGCCACGAGAGGGCCTTGAGAGGACTCCCGAAAGGGCTTCCGAAAGCCCAATTCATTTCCAACCTTTTCGTGTTCCCACCCTTTCGTGCTCCCACTTTTTCGTGAACCCACTCTGACAGATGGACGTGTTCCACCTTTCTGTGCTTCCAGAAGCCGAAGACGGTTCACGATGCCTCCAAGATGCCCCCAAGAGTCGCTCCAGAGGCCCACAAGAGAACCTTTGGATTTTTATGTTTGGGCGGGTGGCAGTGGTGAAATTCAAGATTGTGTGACGTGTGGTGTTTAGCACATCTTTGAGTTAACCAAATTTAGATGATGAGTGGCGGCGGTGATGACATGATTAAGGTAACAAGAGCAGCAACATAATAAGGAAGAATAGCGAGGATAAATCAGGAAATACACGATAGCTTGTGTTTTGGGGGGGAGAGAGAGAGAGAGAGAGAGGGCAGAGGAAGAGGAGAGGAAGAGGACCTTCGCTGAGCAACGCCCCTTACTTCTCACTCGGTGCAATCTGCATCCACTGGCGAAAATGCGGCATCAACTTATTGGAACCTCAAGTTCCCGCGTCGGTCGTGTCGATGCCTGACTGTGATCGCGGCTGCAATGTAAACTCGCGCATGCGTACCCCATACTGGCCCATGCAGGTGGGACTCGCACTGGTAACCAACGCAAGTGGGGAGTAAGGCGAACGAGGAAGGCGGAACGAGGCAGAAAGAGGGAGAGAAAGAGAGAGAACAACTGAGCCTGCGTTGATATAGGTCACCTGACCCAGATGGCCAGCGATACGGAACACAAACCGCGTACTCAAGGAGTGGCAAGTCCAGGAATGGACCGTAGATGTGCGAATTCGGGCGCAGCAGGAGCGCGCGTCGTCTGAACATAGATTCATGCCGAAGTAGGGTAGCAAATTCAAAGATTTGGAGTGCAATGTCACACACATTAGTCGGATCACGATTCAAATGACCGAATCAATGGCTACAATCGGATGACATGCTATAGTCGGATACGGAAATACAACAGAACTGAAAACCCAATGACAAAAACAAAAACCTACACACAACAAAAAAAATATGAAAATGTTTCCAGGCCGCGACACCCGGGATTTTCCTGAAAGAACAGAACTCATCAAAAACAAAAACAAACGTGTCCCCAAACTGGTGACGGGGATCCGGGTTGATTGGGCAGCCATCGGCGGGTCCGACACAAGGAAGCGACACGATAACTATAACAATTACAAAACATTAAAGTGCACGCGCGAAGCATATAGGAAACCACACACAGAACACAGCAGCATGACAACGTGCTAGGGCAACGATACGTGTGGGGTCCTGTTAGAACTTGCTAAACTCGAATAACCCATTTGACGGCAACGAAAACATCAAAGCGGCCTTGGCGGCACCGTACTTCCTCCGGAGACCTCCCCAGGTCCGATCAAACAACCCAAAAACCAGAAAATTTGTGAACTGTATGCTTCCTTAAACGCACACATTGGTTCAAACGTGTACGTCACAGGTTGATGTGTAATTCCCCGGGGGACAATCACAAGGACCGTGGCCCTAATTCACGTTCGTCTCAATTGGAAGCGTACGGATTTGAACGTGTATGTGGAACTGTTGCATTAAGGTTATTAACTGAATGGATATCTCCATGTGTCCTTGTACGGCCCACCCGTATCCGCCCAAGCAGCCCGAAACCGTTGAATCCTGCGCACTTGAAATAGCATCAGGTGGATTACTGTGACTTCTGTATGGCTGGTACTGTGTTATGGCCCTCGGATGGGGCTGGTGCTATAAACACACTAGGAACAATAGAGGAAGTCGCGTTAGCACACAACCAAAATATTAAGCATGAGACAAATTGGTAGCATTGCCGCGACGAATGGAATCTGCTTGTAACCCGCACACAAGGAATCAATCCTTTCATAATACTCCACGAAAGGAATCCGTTTGTAGCCCGCCACAACAAGATTCCCTTGTGGAATCCTCCACGAAAGGACTCATGTTGTTACCCGCCACAACAAGAATCCCTTTGGTAACGCGCGACAGACGGGATCCTCTTGCAAGGCGCAACGAAAAGAATCCGTGTGAACCAACAGAAGAGGGATCCTGGTGTAATCCGTCACAAAAGGAATCCTTGCGCAATCGCCTCGGAGAGAAAGGAACCCTCCTCCCCGAACATGTAAAACGAAAAAAGAAAAGCGGAAACATCTGATAACACTGTAAAAGCACAGCGAACAATATGAAACATTGAACAGGCCTTGAGGGGAAGAGAGGAGCAATAGGAACAATGGCCGCGACAATTGGAATTCGTGTGTAATCCGCACAAGAAGGATATGACGAGGAGCAGCAGCCGCAGCAAGAGGGCGAAAAGACGGCCTCCCTTGGACGCACGGGTTAGAAAAGGATGTCTGGTGTGGCGGGCTGCAAAGGGATCCTTTCTTTGGCGGATTGCAGCAGGCTTCCGTGTTCTTGGTGGTTATAAGAGGATCACTTTTGCGCTGATTGCAAAAGGACTCCACGTGTCGCTGGAAGGCGTCATGTGTTTCCTCTCTTCGCCCCAAAAGCTGCACAACCTTGCCTATGGTTCGCAATGTGTTTACAGGCTGTTCTCAGAATGTTCAGGGTTCCCCTCTGTTCCCCTTACTTGTTCGGGGAGGGGGGCGCCTTCTCCCCCGAAGCGATTATACAAAAAAATCCTTCTGCTGCGGATTACGAAACGACTCCTCCTGTGACGGCTGCATAAACATTTCCTGTATGACACCGTACAAAAGGATTCCGGTGGTCGCGGGTTGCAGAAGGGATTCCTTGTGTAGCGGATTGCGAAAAGGATTTCTCGTATCGCGGGTTACAAAACAAATATTTGTGTGGCGGGTAACAAAAATCATCCCTTTGTGGCGCATTATATCAAATGTCCGTCCACGTGCGGTTCTAAAAGATTTCCTCTTGTGCGGATTACACACGGATTCCATGTGTCACTGCAATGTATGATTATGCGTCCCCCCCTTCCATCAACAGCTGTTCATTGTTGTATAAGTGCCCGCTATGGTTTCATCGTTGCTTCAGATGTGTGCTTCCCCCCTCTGTTCCTCATATTTGTTCGGAGAGGGGGGCTCCTTCCCCTTCGAGGCGATTGCAATAGGATTCCTTGTACGTCGGGTTACAAGGGGATTCCTTGTGTGGCAAATAAAACAAGACTTCCTGCTGCCTCGCGTCACAAACAACTTGTGTCGCGGATTGCAACAACAAACCTTTTGTGGTGCATCACGCAAGGATTCATACTGTCGTGCGTAACATGAGGATTCCTGCCGTGGCGGGTTACAAAAGAAGTTCTTCTGTTGGGGGTTACAAAGGAATTCCATGTGTGGAGGGTTCTAAAAGAATTGCTTTTTGGTATGCTAGAGACGTAACACTGGGGCTGTAGTCCTGCGCTCAGAACGGTCCTCTTACACCACGACATCCTACCACGCCACACAACAGACAATACAACACAATCAAAAACGTCATACGACACAATGCGCTGTTGAGCACCCCACATAACGCACTCTCAAAATCCCCCGTACTCGGTTAGTGACCCTGCCGTCTGAGTAATATAGTTCCTGCTGTAGAGAGCTCTCGTTCTGTATTAGTGTATAGGCGTCGTGTTGTTTCCTTCTGTCAGGACCTGGCCTTCCGAGCGGGAGGAACGGGCTCATGAGCTAATGAAGATTGTATGTATACACAATATGTCCTCACTCGTTGTCTTGATTATCTGGCTCCTGCTCGTACGTATCTCTCTATTGATTGGTTCATCTGCTGTTGCGAATACGTTCTTCATCTCATCACCATCGCCAGCGTCGCTCGTATTACATCCCGAAAGGGGTACGTAAGACTGACTTCTCAGACACCGATTATTGATTGCAGTACGGAGCCGCTGTTCCTAATACTTATACGCTTGGACTCGTGCCACTCCTGTCTGCAATGGGGGAGCAGAGTGAGAAGGAGGAAGACGAGAATGGAGGAGAGGGAGAGCAGACATGAGGGAGAGAAGGATTGAGGGTGATGAGGAGGAAGGGGAACGCTGTAAGAGGTTACCTCGCCTGACATGCGTGCGACTGCAGCAGCAGCAGACTGTGTAGAAGTAAGCATACGAGTAGGAGCGTGTGCATGTTGTGGAGTAGAAGCACGTGCACGGTGAAGAACACTTGAATCGTAGAACAGATGTCTCAGCTCATTGTTTACAGCAATCGCTCGCAACACGATCACTGCTGATGACTGATTCCCTTGCGGGTGCGCGCCAAGCCCGTGCATCTACGCTCGCAGACACAATGAATTGCCGCGCCAGGACCGCGAAAGAGAGCACCTCACGTTGCACAGTCTTCGGTCTCATCCGGGAGTCCTCATGGGGGCAGGCTGGAGAGGACGCCCCCAGAACCCTCCCGGGGAACCCCCTTCAGCCCAGCAGCTCCACCCCAGGCAAGGGTGGGGGAGCCTCGAGGTCTCCGGAAATCTCCAGAAAGCCGCTGCATGTCCTCGGTGGCCCGCGCATGCCTTCTGAGGCCGAATGAAAAACAAAAACAAAATCAAAAACTTGAATCCTCTGTGACCAACGATCCTCGATTGGGGGTCCCTTCAGAATCGAAAGAAGACCCTCAACAAAAAAAATGCCGCTCCTGCGGGAGGAGGGGGTCGGAGGTTGTCAGACGCCCTCTGGGCATCGTGGGGGGGGGTGCTCCAGAGGCCTCCCTGGAAATTCTGGGGGCACCCTGGGCCGGTGGTAGAGCAGAGAGTCGGCACAGAAAACAAGAAGCTCAAAGCCCCGCATGCTGTAACGCCACTCCTTGGGCCTAGGGATCTCGGTGTTGGCGTCGACCTCGGAGGCCCTGGGCCATATACACACACACACACACCTCTGGCAAACACGAACCCCGGCGCTTCGACTCTCCAACCTCCCCCGTGTGGGGGGCGCCAACGGCCGCGGACATCGGAGTGACCGTGTCAGCCGCCAGCGTCAGCGTTAGGAAGAGAAGCGAAGCGAACGCCTGAGTCATGCGCGCTCCTCTGGGAATCCCGCCAGTGCTCAGCAGGACGTGGCGTAGAGGTCGCAACCACCAGTCAGTGCTCCAGGCGGCTGGTGCTCATCGCAAGTCGTTTGAGCTGGCTTGCTCGTTTTGTCGTTTCGTCGGGGTTCGGTCACTGCCCGCATCTGGTCCTGCCCGGCGGCGGCGTCGCAGCAGTGCCCGTCGAAGCCGTGGCGAAGCTTCCAGACAACGTCGTCGTCAGCGCCGGGAGGAGGAGAATTCAGGATGGAGGAGGGAGGAGGTGGGAGGGGGAGGATCGGATCGCGTCCATCACGCAACCCAGACCTCCGACGTCGTGGCTCTGTTTACCACGTGGACCCCCAGAGGTCTGGGCCCCGTCCTTCCAAGACCCGCTCCTCACCCCGAGCCGTCTCCAGACGGCGCCGAGGCCTGGCATGGGCCCCTTGGGGGGGCGAAAATTGGCAAAAGCCCTCGTCCGTGAGTCTCGCTCACGACGAACAGGGGGAGCCGTTTGGACGGGGTGACGTGGCGCCACGACGAAACTCAGGAGCGCGGCGGCGTGGTTAGCACCGAGGTGGGACGATAGGGGGGTGGCTGCCGATGCAAGGGGTGGGTGGAAAATCGACAACGAATCGGCGATACATCGAGGGCAGCTTGGCAAGCCCGCACGCTCCCAGGCGGGGTGGGCTACCTGGTCCATATCGGCGATCAAGGGGCGATTTGGGGGGGGGGGGGGGGGCCATTCCCCCTGAGCCCGCGACTCTCCGGCGGCCGTTCGGGACGGCTCCGGCACCCGCGGAACGCTCTCGACGAGGCGCATCTGATGGAAACCACCCCGGGGCCTCGAAAACTCCCAAGGACTTTCGATAACTTCCAGAAGCTCAAGGAAGACCTCCCGAAACCTTCCCCACTGACGCATCCCGCGGCAAGAAAGCTGCCGGCAACCCACGAAAAACGTCAGAGACCAAAAAAAAAAAAAACGCTTCCTCTGGCGCGGAGGACGGAAGCACCTCCCCTGGCGGCACCTGACGAGGAGAGGGGGCGCCGAGGCCACTGGCACCCGCCCCGTGGATCCCCCCCGCGCGCGGGCGCCTTGCCGGACGAGCAGGCGGCGGCGAGGAACTGGCCGTTGGGGCTGAAGGCCACGCGCTTGACCTCACTGCCGGGGGCGGCGGCGGCGTCGCGGTCGACGGCGGCCCAGATCGCCGCCGACGCGGCGCGAAACTGCTCCCGGGGAAGCGGCCGGGACCTTTGAGGACGCGGGCTGGAGAAGCAGCCTCGGCGGATGTCGGGGCCCGCCGGCGGAGACGTGTGTCTGGCAGGGAGGGGAGCGAGCAGGGGGGGGGAGGAGGGGGGCCGAGGGGGGAGGGAGGAGGCAGAGGGAGGGGGGAGCAATTGAAGGAGGAGGGAGGACTGCTTCATCTGCACTGCCTGGAGCACGGGTGCCCCTCGACCCAAAAGAGTCCGCCCCCTGCTGGGGAGGGGGGAGGGAGCAGGGAGGGCAGAGCAAGTGGGGGGAGGTGGAGGCGGGCGAGAGCGGGAGTGGGAGGGACAACGCATGAGGGATAAGGGGGCCCTGGAGGACGCAGGAGGAAAAGGGAAGGGCAGAGGAAGAGGAGGAGGAGGAGGATGGCGGAGGAGGAGGAGGAGGCGGCCGGAAGAGAGAAGAGCCAGGGGGGGCGCGAGAGCGGGCGGCGATGCGAGAGAACGCTCCGGCCCCGCTCCGGCTCGGCGCGGTGCACCGTCTTTCGGCCCCGAGGGCCGACAAAAACTGTGCAGCGTACCATCCCTGGTTCGAGGATGGACGACGCTTCGGGCGACGCCAGCGCGGTGCGTGCAAGTCGTCCGCGGCGCCGCCAGAGGCGGCGCCGGCGGCGCCAGCTGGGGGGGGGGGCACGCAGCTCGTGAAAATGCGTGCGGGCCTCCGAAGGATTTGTGTCTGTGCAGTGGTTCCGTCTGTGAGGGAGGGGGGGAGCAGACAACCGAACAGTATCAGGGGGGCGTAAGACCTGGGCACAGGGGACTCGGAAATCCCCGACGAGGTCGTCAAGAAAATGACGAGGCCGAGCCTGCATTTTGACGAGGCCTCCCGCTGCAGACATCCCACGAAACTCCTCCTCGTCAAAATCCGAGGCGCGGTCGTCAAAAAACGATGGCGAACCCGAGGCCTGGCAGACCCGGGTCTTACGCTCCCCCGACAGTAGCGAAGGAAAAACGTATCCGCCCCTCGCGGCGAGGGCGCCTCCTCCGCACCGCCCTCCTCCCAGGGCCCTGCGGGGTTTTCGGGGTCATGCTGATGGGCAGATTTTCCACCACCACTACCATATGTAGGATGAGGTCCTCCTCCTCCTCCTCCTCCTCCTCCTCCTCCTCCTCCTCCTCCTCCTCCTCCTCCTCCTTTCCTCCTCCTCCTCCTCCTCCTCCTCCTACGTATGGTAGTGGTGGTGGATAATGCCCTGGGCACATGCGGTCGGGAACTGTTGTTGCTAAGCGTGTCGTGGCAGCGGCCCCGGCGTCCGACACAGGCTGTGCCTTGCAGGCGGATGGCGTGCCGCTCCGTTTCGCAGGGCGGGAGGCGGGGGACCTCCTCCTCCTCCTCCTCCTCCTCCTCCTCCTCCTCCTCCTCCTCCTCCTCCTCCTCCTCCTCCTCCTCCTCCCCCTCCTCCTCCTCTCTCCCGCTCCTCCTCCTCCTCCCCTCTCCGCCCCTCCTCGCGATCCCCTGACGCTCGGGGACCGGAATGTGGATAGCGTGGCGCGCCGAAGAGTGGTGGGCCAGCACTGACAGAGCGACACGCCATCCCAAAGCTCACGACCGTCACTTGATTGTCCGGCGGCTGTTCGGGGCGGTGTCCGAGCACCCCCGAGACGCACTCGGCGAGGCGCAGCAGCTGGAGGGCGTCCCCCGAGGCTGGCTCATTCGCCGCGGAGAGCCGGCGGGAGCGTCCGGAGGCGCCCCTGCCCCGCGTCGCGGGGGGGCGCCTCGTTGTCCTGGCTGA